CTGTTCAGAGAGAAATTGTCAGTCAGATTAAATCAGAGAAACAGCCTAGAAAGTTCCTATGAAAGTGCTTCTCTCTCACTTCCTCTCCTCTGTGTTGTGGTCCAGATGAGAGGACATCTCTGTGGCTCAGTGGATGAAGCAGCTGCAGCAGCTCTGTAGTGGCCAGCACAGTGAGCAGGAGGGAGAGAGCTGCAGGGCACAGTGTGCTGCTGGGCTTCAGGTGACCAGAGAACCTATTTCAGTAACCACTCAGGTACCAGAAGCGTCTGACAGCCTGGAGAGGAAGCACAGCTGCCAGACCACACAACCTGTCTCTTTTCAGCATAAACATTTGTCACTCTTTGCTGCTGTCACGTTCCTGGAGACCTTCTGGGGACCAGAAGATCCTCTCATTAACCTCAGTATCTCACCTTACTTCAGCCACTTGCGCTTTCCTGGCAGACCTGCAATTTCTCCTGCAAATTTCCCCACAGAGGACCATTTTAATTGCAGCTTTGCTGCAAACAATGCAATTTAGCTGTCTACAGGTATTTCCTCATGTTGAGTCTATATTCTACTTGACTTGGAGTCTGCTCCCTGCACTGTGCTCAGTGTCAGCAGGTAGCAGGTGAGTGTGGGCAGACAGATGTTGGGGCTGTGTCCTCTCTGGGGCCTCTGCAGAAGGCTTGTGCAGGGACTGCTGCATCCCAATACTGCATCAGGTTAATTACATTGTGCTGATAATTAAATTAAGGAGCTCTATGCAGCAGGGTCGAATTCAATCTAATAAATGTACTGAACAGAAACCGACAGCAATCGACTTCATGCATGTTCAGGGAACTGAGCAGCAAACTGGAGAACAGACAAAAGATGGAGAACAAAATTGGAAGGATGAGAACAAGAGGTGAAACCTGAGCAGAAAGGGACAGGCAGAGGAGGAAGCGCAGAGACCAACATGGACGAAGACCAGCATAAAAAAAAAACAAAGGAAAAAATAGCTGTGATGAAGCATAGTAGATACTGGGATACTGGATACCAGTAACAGCCAGACAAGCTCTTGGGCATCCAGATTTCAAAATGTCTTTATTTTCGAGGATTTGTCTTTAAATTCTGGAAACATTCTAAAAAGGTTCGAGAGTCCCAAATAACAATATGTACATAAGAAATACCCATACATAAGAAATAATGTGATCTGAGAAATTCCAGTATTTATCCTGGTATAGAATATAGGCATTATTTATAGTTGAAAAATTAGTCCCCCAAAATGGCACTTCTACATGTTTTTGAACCTGCAAAATACTTATAGATTGCATATGTGAAAAATCTACATTAAATGCTTGCAGTAAGATAATTATGTCATCTGAGGAGAAGGAATAATAAATATTTTCACAGATAGTTTTTTTTTCTCTAATACAATATATGAGTGCTTGACAATATTACTAACAACAAACTTTAAAGTAAAAAATGTTGGGTTTAATAAAGATTTAAAACTCACCGTCAGCTCACATAGTTCTCTCCATGTGCCACTGCTATTAGACACACTTTTTCACTTAAAGTCTTTAAAGAAATCTCTATATATTGCATGTGAAATCCCAGCACAAAAGTTTGCTGGTGACATATTATTTTCCTTCCAGCAACTATAATCGATACAACCAGGGCTCAAAGCAAAGTGTTATGGCTGTTTTATAAACTTAGGAATGTACTCTGGAAATTTATTATGGAAAAATTGACTCAACCTGTATTTAAGGATTAACTAGGGCAAGTCCTGTGACAGGGTGTAGCCCAAAATGCACGTGCTACTTCTGCTGAGTTACAGGTATGGCCGAGTTCCGGCAAGGGGGAGCACTGGGGTGGTGTTAGGGAGAGGCAAATGTCTGAAATGCTGCTCTGCTTTCCCCCCTGAGGGTGCATGAACCCTTTGAGCACTTAGGGCAATAACTGTAGATGTCTCACCCCTGGAAGTGGGATTGTATGGGGCCTGGAGCAACCTGGGCTAGTGGAAGGTGTCCCAGTCCATGGCAGGGAGGTTGGAAACCAGAGGATCTTTAAGGTCTCTTCCAACCCAAACCACCATGTGATTCTGTGATGTTCTCAAAAGTATTTTGGTACCCATTTGTCTGTGAAATTAGTAATTTAGGTGCTTACATGCATCTGAACACATGGTTGTTGGTAGTCAAATTGACAGGATTTAACGTGGAAAAAGTAATTTTAACTCTCATGAAAAGTAGTTACAGTGTTGCTTGTTCATATGCTGGCTGCATTTATCCATGAAAAAATAATTAAAAAAAAAGAAGGATAAAAACATGATGCCTTAATGTCTGAAACAACTAGTGATTCCTTTATTTTATAGCAGGGTCTTATTAACATTTGATTTTACAAAGAGTCAAGCTCCTGAAGTCTAGTAGTTGTAGGAGAACTTTGGCTTTGTTCTGTTGTTTGTTTGTTTGTTGTGGGTTGTGTTTTGGGGTTTTTTGTTGGTTTTTTTAATGTGTCTCTAATCCTCAGAGCTGTAATGAAAAGTTTAAAAATATGACTGGAGGATCAAGGGCTGTATTTGGGATCTTAGAGGATCAAAGGAGAAAAATAAGAATAACCCCCCATTGTGGTATTCTCAAAGTTATAAACATGCTTAAGGCAATATCATGATGGGGGAGAGGATGATTCATGGGGGGTTTTTAGGTTTGGGAGTTTGGTCATACTGCCTTTGTGGTACTTTCTGAAACTTATTTTACAATATCCACAATTATTCATATAAATAGCCTACAAAAAGAAAAAAGAATTAATTTTGGCTTAAAATACTAAATGTAGAAAATAAATTATAATGTAGGATACAATTTTGCATAAACAAGAGAATGGGTTATTTATATGGTAGCTTTTATTCCACCTCAAATGTTTGTTAATTTAGTAAAGAATGTCCAGGAGACCTGCTTGCTTACAATAGCCAGTGCTAAAATACTTCTATAGAAATTCTACCTTTTCTTGCCTTACTTTTTAACTTTCAGGACCATACTAGGAATGAAAAATGTTGTGACAGTTTATTCACAAGCATGCTTATTAGGTTTTTTTTTCATTTCTTTATTCCAGGGGTCAGTCATTCCCATATCCCTTGGCAGCAGCACTTCTTTGGCAAAAGAAGTTATATAAATGTTATATAAAGCGGGTGTTACGGACCTCCTCTATTTTGGTGCAGCTCCCAGGCTGCCCCAGACACCTTTTTACTGTCCAGGGGAATTTTGCTTTCTCTGTCCATGTGCCATTAACATCCCTTCCTGACCTGGTGACAATGTTGTTTAACCCCTGCAGTCTCACTTCTGGGTCTGTTGCCTTCCATGATTCCCGTAGGAACCTACAAGACAGTTCTCTACAACATTAAAGAAGAGGGTTCGTATTCTTATTTAATTCTGTGTGGTTTTAGAGAAGTGGCTACAGACTTTATACCTGACAGAACTTTGCATCCATTAAATACAGAGACTTCCATAAGGAGGGAAATAAATCTGAATTCTTGTATTTCTTGAAGATAACCACCACAATCCTGTATTTTTTTCAGAAGATAAGATTTTTGAGGAAAACTCTTCCCCCTTCTCCCTCGAGCCCGTGAGATTTGTTGGAGGTAATTAGGGTGTAGGCTTTGAACCCAGGGAAAACCTGATTTTAAGTGATGGGGTCAAAGGTCTGTGGCTGTAACAGGCTTTGTCTCATTGTCAAATTCAGGCGCCATTAAAGGGTGCAAAGATTGTCCAGGGAAGAAGAGTCACTTCTAAACCAAAACCTCGTATTTTGATCCATAATGTATGTTTGTTTCTATGTGTACGGAAACCACTTGCTGTTCTAAAGACACCTCCCTTTCTCTCTCTCTCTTTGCGGTCCCAGACTCTCAGCCCTGGAATCCTGCCTGGCAGCAGGGGTGGCACCGGCACGGGTTTGCTCTGGAGCTGCAGCGCGGCGCAGCCACAGGTGAAGGGATGTTGGAAGCGATTCCTTCTGCGATACCCTGTGACGCCAAATCCATTCGCCCGCGGGGGCCGAGCCGCCTCTCTCGCCCGGCTGAGTTTGCAAGCGCGCTGAAGGCTTTTTGGAGGGAGGGAGCGGAAAAAAAAAAATCCGTGTTCAGGAGTGGACCGCGGCCCTCCTGGGCTTGGCAAGCGTTCCCTGTCAGGGAGGGGGGAAAGGAGGGCAGCCAGGGGGTTTGCCCAGCGGCGAATGAGCCCGGCGGGGCCTCCGCGAAGCCGGGGCCGTCCGGGGCCGCTGCAGCCGCCGGGCCGGGCTGCGGGGACCGAGGGGTGGGAAGCACTGCCTCGGGGGAAATAACCCTCCTCTCGGGCACGGCCGGGAGAAATCCTGTGGGGAGGGAGGCGAGGGAACAGCCTGGGAGGTCGGGAGGGAAAGGAACCGCGCCGCCTTCGGGCGTTTTTGGCAAGGTGAAGCCCAGCCTTTTCGCCCACCGCCGCGCTCCGGCAGCCCCGGGAATGCAGGCGCAGCTCCAGCTCCTCTCCCCCCGCACAGGGGCGGCGGGGCGAGCGCAGCCGCGGGAAGCGGCTGCGGGAAAGTTCCTTGGTGCTCATTCTGCAGTTCGTGGCGACCCGGCCGGGCTCTCAGCAGCACCCGGGCACCTCCTCCCATCTCCTGCCCTCCTTCCCTCCCTCCTTCCCTCCCTCCCCGGCCCGGCTCCCCGCGGGACTCCCCGCTCTGCCAGGAGCGTCGCCCGAGCGCCTTCCCCTTTTCAGGGTTTTGTGGCGTTCGGGTGTTTTTTAATTTTTATTTTTTTTTCTCTCTCTTTCGGTGAGAGTGCGGCCGGGCTGGGCGAGGGGAAGGAAACTTTCTCCCCCCCCCCCCCCCCCCAGGATGCTCCGGATATTTTTGAAAAGGGCGGAAGAGTGAGAAAGGAGCCAGCGTCTGTAAGGGCATCTCAATGCTCTTGCGAAGGTTCCCCCTGACACCTCGCTGCTGGGATTAAAAAACCGGAGCTGGAGAAACTCCTCCCCCTCCCTCGTGCTTCTCTCATTCTCCCCCTCCCCCTATTCCGCCCCCCCCTCCCAATTTCCTAAGGCCATTAAAAAAAAAAAAAAAGAAAAGAAAAATCAAAATAAGGAGCCTGGAGTAACTGCGGCCCGTGGGACGGTGGGGAGAGGTGGAAGAGGAGCCTCCCTCTCCAGATCCATTGCTCAGCACCACGCCTGGGTGAAGGGATGGGAAGCACTGCCATGGACAAGAAGAAAGATGCCTCCAGCAGCAGGAAAAGCTCCGGCCAGAAGAAACTCATGTTGCGAGTGCACATCCCCGTAAGTGTCTCCTTGCTCTTCCTCCCCTTCGGCAGCTGGCGTGGTTTAGGCGCTGAGACATGTTTCTCTCTGACATGTAGCTCAGGGAAAGGCAGGGAGAGGTGTTCCCTGCTGCCGAGGTCTGGAGTTTGGGGCATGCTGGGCTGGGGGGTGCAGCCCCTGCAACAGGCAAGTCCTCCACATCTGGGGTAGGTTGAAGCATGGGGTCTGAGCCCCCCGTGCAGTGCTGGGAGCTCAGGGTGCAGTGATCGTGGCACGGAGTGAGAATTTCAGTTATCCTCACTATCCTAGTTTTAGAAGTGACTCTTACTCCGGGCTGCACCAGTGCTCCCCTGCCCTGGGCTATGGGTTTGGCTCAGTGTGTCTCTCACAGTCCACACGCAGACTCGCAGTACGGTTTAGCAAAAGGTCTCTTCACCCCCAGATGTTGGTCTCAGCATCCCCAGGTTTGGCTCTGGGAACTATCCGTGCCTGTGGCTGAACCAGGGTTTAATCGGACTCTTCCCTCTCTCAAGACTAATCCACATCTGAATTTCCCAGGGCAGGCTTGCCCCGAGCTCGATCTCAGGTTTGGATCCAAGCAGTCTGTTCATTGCCGAGAGAGCAGGGGACAGTTGTTTTACCACTGTGGAGCAAACTAGTGAGCCATGCAGTCTGTTCACCGACTCTGTTTTGTATATTCCACTGTAAGGAAACATGCAAGAAATTACAGTACATAGATAGAGAATAAACACAGATCAAAAGTTGCTCAGTATTCCAAGTGAGTACTAAAAGCCTGACTGGGTCAGTCTTCAGAATTACATGCCCTTCAAAACTTTTTCTTTTTCTTTACTATTAGGATGTTCTTATGATCTATGTAACCATTAGTTTTTTATTCTCAGTCCTGATGTGCTTTTGGTGTCAGTACTTCTGGCAAGAACTGACAAAGTCCTTGTATCTTTTCTGGGCACTCTGTTGTTTTATTGCTTATTTGTTATATTTGTTTGGGGTTTGTTTTTTTTTATTTTAAATCTCATTATGTAAAAGTGGGAAACAACCCTACACGTCTCTGCCAAGCCTCCAAGGAGCAAAAAGATATTTCTGGTTCTAAGTTTTTCCTTTGTTTTAGGGAAGAATGAGAAGTCAGAGCAAATTTATTAGGTGTCTCGGGTGTGTGGAATAAAATGGAGGAGAAATACATGACTCCTCTGCAGATTTCATTTTTCTCTGGGGAGGAATGCAAGCCCAAGAGCCCAAGCCAAACTTCTGGAGCTCTGAGTGCATTCAGTACTAGGAAAAAAGGGTTTGTTTCTGCTAACATGGGTGTTGCCTATGCATTTGTGACTGGAACTTTTAGGCAATAAACTTTGCCATGTTACCAGTAGTACTTCACAATAGGGATGTAAAATAGCAACAAATAAAATGTACCACACCAAAGCACCGCTCACTCTGTGCACATTATTCCTTTCCACCCTCCCTGCTACATTTTCTCTGCCCTTTCTTTCCATTGCCCCCCCGACCTCTGACTCAGTCCAACCAGAAGCTCTTGTGCAGCTGGATCTCCACTGCTGCTCCCAAGAGCTGCACTTTCTGCCTGCTGAGGAGCCATTGGTAATTCTGGAGATGCTGTGGTTGTTGCAGGATTTTACAGAATCCACCTGGTGCTTTTGAAATACCTGCTGACCACCAGATACCTGTGACCACAGCAGTACTTAAGCAATTTTCCTCAGTTTATGGGTGTGAAGCTAAGCTGGGAGAAGTGCCTAAGTGTTCACACTATAGCATTATTGCCAGAGGAAGGCTAATGCTTTTTCCTATTTGCCTCCCTAAGCCATGGGCAACATTTCTTTGTGAGTGTTGCCTTAGTTCTGTTTTGGATGGAACATCTTTAGTGGTGGGTCATAATTTTTCCTGTTCATTAATCTTCTGGTTCTTTTCTATGCAGGTTTTCACTTACATAGGGGTAGTTATGCAGATACAAGCCTGCAAATGCCTGGTATTGCACTGAAGTCAACATTAGTTTTGTTGTTCACCCAGTTGGAAGCAATTAAAGATTTGTTAATGAGATGACACCTTCCATCCTTCCTCTCCATCCCCAAAACACGATCCTTCTCTTTCATTCTGCATCATTTTAATGTTCCTAAAATGGACTGTTGGGCCCAGGATCTTTCAGGTTGTACTCACATTCTTAGTGGTTTCCTGTAATCTGGCAGAGTTTAAACATGGCTGTGCTATAAGAAAGAACATTTTTCTCATTCTGCTCACTTGACAGTGGAATCTGCATTTGAAAAGATCCATTTAGACTGTTTTTTTTTCTCTTTCATAACTGTTTTCTTGGCTGTTGTTTTGAAGCATCATTCTTATTATTTCAGTGGCGCCTGTCAGTGTAGCTGTAGTTGTCAAGGGAGCTTTCACCAGACAGTAATTTTTATTTTGTTCATCCTCTTCTTTGTGTTGCTGTGAGATCGTGTTTATGGCTGAGATTCGTAATTTGTGCTCATTTTGATCTTCAAATTAGGAACAAGAGAAGGACTAATAAGGTCTGAGTAGGAGGGGAGAGAGGAGTCAATTTTGAAAGAAAAAGCCATGGGACAGAGGTACTGTTGTGATGCAGGCTGGCTTAAAACATGTTTATTAAGCACACAGAAGTGCTGACTGAAAAATTAATTACATATATTGCGGGAAAAAAAAGGTGAATGATGCAAAATGCACTACAATTAGGTTAGAGGATTGTGGAATAATAAGCATGTCTGAAAAGAAAGTTGCATGCTTTACTTCCTCTCCCATGTTGTTTTTTTGGGGGGAGCCTGTGTGTGACAGTGGGAAAAAATGGATCAATTTAAGAAAGCTGATTTGTGTCTTGCAGCACTCCAGGACATTTCTCAGGTACATCTTTCTCAAGCAAGAAAAAGACACAATATAAAGATCTGGAAACATTCTATTTTCACCTTCTTCCTGTGCTCAGTCTCCTTCAGCACAGGTGGGTGGTGCCTGGCCCGTGCTCCTGGGAGTAGTGGTGGACCACTAAGTTCCTGCAAGTTGGCTTTCCTTGCTGCTCTCAACTTGTGTTCAGTAGCCAAGACTAAAGTGGGGGCTGCTGTATTCTGTAGTGTGGCAGGGGAGTATTTGTTTAGAGGTTGGACTGATAAAACAACTTTTTGTTTGGTGGATGTTTTCTTTGCAAATATATGACTGACCAACATTGGTAATTTAGATGGACCATAATATCATTGCAGGACCCTTTGTAGAGGTCATATCAACCTCTGTCTCTCCCAGCAGCACGTTCTGAAGTCTCGAAATTAGAGATGCCTAAATGGAAAATTCTGGTCCAAATATCTTTGAAAGCTGCTACAGATTTAAATAGAAGCCTTTGCTCTCTAGATGCATCATATCTGTAATGTGAAGACATTAGCATTATAAAATTCCTTTTTAAGCCATTAGAAGTAAGTGCTTGCACATTGCTGTGAACATTTTCAAAACTCTATTCTAAGATGGGATGCAATTGTCTGCTGAGTAGGAGCTCGCAGCAGTGAGATCAGTGTGTTCTTTTGTCATCTTGCAAAAATCGATCTCTTCTAATGTTAACGTAGCCATTATAATCCTCTGGTGCCACGAAAAAAAAATGAAAAGGAGAGATTCTGCTGTTGTTTACCTTGAATTTCATCTGGGATAATTCAGCCAGTGCCAGCAAAGTTATGTTGTATTTACGTGAGCGCAACTGAGGGCAGAACCTGTCTCAGGAGCTTCACCACAGCAAGTGCCAAGCACCTGCTGCTCCCAGCAGGTGGGAATTGCAGAAGCTTGGCACTTCCTTGGATTTTTCCCAAATACATCACAAGGTGACTTATTGTTTGAAAGAACAAAGAGATTTTTTCACAATAAGGACAAAAATAACATCTGCGAATGAATGTAAAAACATCTTTCAGTTCAGTGAAGTGGCTGTTGCCTCTGGTACTTCAGCCCTGACAGAGCTGATGCACTAGAAGGATGTTCTTGGGGACCAGGATCCTTTATTTTCAATGTCACACAAACAAACACCTCTGCACACCTTCTCCCATTTCTTTGTCATCCTCCACGATTTTGAAGAGACTTCTCAATGTCAAAATTTATTGCTGTTTCCAGGCTTGTTGTTATGTTGGGATGCCAGGCTGAACGTCAGAGGGCTTAAAGATTTCTAACCCGATAGATGACAGTGATCTTCCGACAATACTGTTGGCTCAGGCTCTGTCCCTCCATCTTGCTTTCCACACTTGCAAAGTCATTAATGGCTGCATGCCTAATAAATCATTGTGAAATGGTTTTGTTCTGTCACAGCTTTTGCAGAATGCTTCCTGTCTCCTGGTAATTGCAGGGTGGGTTGATGAGAACAGCACTTCAGTCTAGGAGTCATTTTAGGAAGCTGTAGGTGAGGAATAAGGTGAATTCTTTAAAAGGTTAAAGGAAATCAGCTTCCAATAGGATCTAGGAGTGAAAAAAATGTTTATTTTCTTGGAAAAGGTGGTGGGGGAAGAGGGAGACAGAGGAGAGTGAATGCTTCCCTAATATTAGATCTGCAACTGTTCTCCCTCTCGCTCTCATAGGACAGGCTCTGAGTTGTCCTGAGCCTCTGTGGCCTTGAATTTTAAATTTGGATTCCTCCCTAAAGGGCTGATATATTAAGACTGGAAAGGGCAAGAGGTATTTGCTGAGGAGTATTGAGATGGTACTTTGAATTTATCTGAAGGATAGAAGAAAGGATTAATGTTTACAAACATAATAGCTGCCACTGTAATTAAAGAAGCTCTTAGTCTTTTTGGTTCTAAAGCATAAGACAAACTGACCATCAGGTTATTGAAAAGTGCTATGTCTTTAAAACATCACTTTTTCTAGTAGGAGATTCTGCTCCTAAATGGTCTCACCCAACCCCCTTTATTTATACCTGTGAGCCTGTGAGGACTGTGGGCTCAGAGGAATGTGAATTTCCTTGGAGAAATAAGTCATGAATGTGGAAGAAACCTCACAGAAATGTGGATGGTGAGACT